AAATACACACCCCATAGCGTTATTATGTAATGGGAAAATGCTATGTAGACTAAAGATATAAGCTATACAAAAGAAAAATAGTCTACACATTGTCATTAGTTTATTTTGGGGAAACACGGTTATTTGTTTTCTTTATGAGTGTCAGATGACGATTGAAACCACCATCACGCCCGTCCACTAAAACACAAAACCATATGAACCCGTCAGATAGCTTAGCTTAGCACAAGGAGAACTCTGTCCAATGAGATATCTCAACCCACACCTCTAAAGATCATGCACTCACACATTACATTACAGCGCTTTGTGCTGGACTACGGCCCGGGTTTGGCGTCATTGACAACAGGGCTCCAGGAAGTTACTGTGCCCAGCCAGGAAATAGTCTGGCACATAGCCCCTCGTAGCCGTTCCTCTCCGTTTCCAGTCTTTGTGTTACTCTAATTTAACTAACTGCTAGTGTTGGCTTCATATTTCTCTTAAAAGGGCAGGGTAGTACCGGCCCGGAGCAAGAGTTCACTCAGGTCATATCAACACTGGGGGCCATTAGCAATGCAGAGCCCAAGCTAACTCCTCTTCCTCCTTCGCTGTAGGCAAATCCAGAAACACCATGGAGCTCATTTTCTGCTTTTTGCCTCAGTTCAACCACGCAGCATTGACGAGGGAAGATGTCGCTGCACCAGTCACCAGTTCAGTCTCTGGCGCTCACACCTGCAGGAGCTTCGGTCAATTAAAAAGCGCTGTGTTGCATTGTGGTTTCTTCACCTGCTAGATTCCGGTTGATAAAGTCAAGGAGATTTCGCCAGTTTCTCGGTGTGTTCCGCTGTGGCTGTTGTCACTGCTCGCGTCGGAGTGATGCGTTAATCTGATCAGAACAGATTAACAGTGTCTGTTTTTGTGTGCGTGCGAGTGGGCGCGCCCACCAGGCGATACTGACCTCGGATTGGTCCGACCTTTCAGATGAATTAAGTGCTTACGCGGTGAAGAGCGAGAGATTCATTAAACCTCAGTGGGGACAGAGGGACAAACCTCCGGTCGTCTCAGCAACAGGAGTCCTTTGAAATGGTTCAATTAAGACAAAGACTGAGCATTTTTTCTTTCTGGGCTTCACAACTTTGGGGATTGTTTCTTGTGAACTTTGGGTGCTCTTTGCTGGCACTGACTGATTGATTAACCCAGTGGGGAAGAGAGGGATGATTAGAGATTCTTGCTTGAGATTAAAGAAACAACTCACTGTTATGTGAATTCTGCAGGAGCCAAAACGGCTTACTCAAAAAAATGAAAGAGTTGGGAAATCAAGCAAATTCAACGGCACATTGAGTAATTCCATTGTTATGATTTTGACGAGAGCGGTTGCAAAGATTGAAGAGAGGCCGGCAGATGGCGAGAGTTGTGTGGGACGGGATGTACTGAAGAGCAGATTGTGAGCTACGGCTGACTGTACCAACACTGTGCCTCTTATTTGTGTTTTTGTCAGCACATCAAGTCTACTTTTAGACTCAAAAACATTTCAGATGCACCGTGCAGACCAACAATATGGCCCTTGAGCTGCAAAATGGAAGAACTGTAAGCAGACGCTTTCCTTAAATCTTAAAAGTCCTCTTGTGGAGACAGGTTAAACAAGATTAGGCCATTTTTGGTCTACGCTGTGTTTTGTCAAGGAGCCAGTTGAAATGTTTGGATAAAGTCAAGTCGGGTAAACTAAAGGTTCATCAGAAGAAATCAGAAATAAAAGATTAGCACAACAGCGTCGCTTATTAACATAAATATCTCATTCCTTGTGGTGAAAACATGATCCGGATATCTCATTCCGTCCAGAGACAATAAAAGGGGAAACAGGGGTCAACATGGTCCACGTGTTACAGCCTGTGTGAATAATTCAGCATGTTCTCCGCCAAACGACACCTCTTGCATTCAGAGCGAGAGCTCGCCGCGGGAGGGCGGAAGTCACTTTATGAATGAGCCGCGGGTTTGTCTGTCTCTGCGTGGGACCTCTGAGTCTGTATCTGCTCTAACCAGGCCACCGGTCAAGCTGACGCATTATGAGACCATCTCCACTCAACTGAACCCTCTGTGAGTGTGCTCATGACACACACACAAACCTGACAAAAGCCATGGTAGGATCGTTCATCCTGTGGGTAATTGGAGAGAACGTGGTGCCAAAACATACTGGAATAACGCAGACAGTGTGCGTGCGCATGTCATAACCACACTGGGCATTAAAGCAGAGTGTGCTTCTGTGTGAGAGAGAACATAGAAGTCTAATACACTGGCCAATGGCCAGTCACTTTGCTCCTGATACCCACACAAACACACACCACACAAAGAGTTGTCCTACAAGACCAAACATCCCTTCTAACACCCAAACACATTCATCTAAGATGACAACACGAGAGAGAGCGAGAGAGAGGAGGGGCAAACTCACACGACTTCACATTCCCTGCATCGTTCACATAACTTTTCCTCATTGGTGTGTGTGTGTGTTCGTATAGCTATGAATGTGTGTAATTGTGTGTTCTCACTGCACCGAGCCCACACTAATTGTATTCATTTTCCAGCCCTAGAATTACCCGGACCCCCCTAAAAAAAACCCAATGATTTATGCTTCACCCACATGATGCCCACTGCGTCGCAGGGAAATGGCAGAGAAACGTTTCCCCATCAGCTCCAGGGGTAAAATCTACACAAATCAAAATATATGCTGAGAAAAGTGTGTGTACACTTTTCACACACACAGGTAGGGCTGGGCGGTATGGCTGAAAATTCCTGTAACGGTATTTTTTTCTCTCAAGTAAACAAATTCATTCGTTGACCCCGAAAACCTGAACAGCTGTTCACCGCTCACTGGCCAACTCGCCCGCAACTGGCCGGCGAGTTGGCTTGTTAGTCGTCTGGCTAAAAAAAGAGCAACACCAGTGGCTACGGCTATACACCAGTATGAAGGTACGTGAAAAAATCTACCAGCATGCCAGTTGAACTGTTATAACTCCCAGCCCTATACGCAGTCTTAAAATGATGATGCACTCACTGAACCACATACCAAGACATGTGAACCCTCACATAAGGAGGGAAAACACACACAGCCACAAAACACTCTGATCAATAAAACATTGCACACGTTGGAGTTATATAAAAAGGGAGAGAGAAACTGAGCCGGGGAGAAAGAGAGAGACAGCAAGGCCTGGTTGTCCATGGCAACAGTGTTTTGGAGGCTGATCATCAGTAAGTGCAGGGAGCACTGCAGCAAAGCATGGTGGGATATGGCCATGCATTGCACCACAGACAATGATTGTTATTATTTTTTTCCCTGAAGTACAGATAGATTTCTGTGGGTTAGGGGACTCGCAGAAGAGACGCTTGAAAAATGTGACGGCCCGAATCGAAGCCGCCGAGGCCTCGTGCTTTAAGGTCGCCTGCGAGGCCGAGACAACACCCAACGACCTCGCCGGGGTTACTTTGTCGGACTTCCTGTCTCAAACTCAAACTAATCACACCCTTCAAAACGGACCTCTGCTCGGGGACGGGTCAGTCGGGCCGACGGGTCACTCGGCTGTCCCCTCCCTCGTCCAGCCGAGACGACGAGTGTGTACGCGGATTCACAGCGCACGCACTCAGCTCTCGTGATCCTGCTGCAGGCAACGTAGTGCAGAGACAGATCAATACCAACTCTGCTATACGGTTCCACAGACATGGAGGTTGGGGTTGGGAGGGGGCTATGTCAGGGTAATTACTTCCTCCTCTGGCGGTGTAACACTCTCACAGCCAACAGCCTCCATCTGAATGTGGGTCAATATCTTATACACTCACACACAAATGAGCAGCCAGTTGATTGAAGCATAGTGGAAGTAAATCCAGGTCATACAGGAAGCGGAAAGGGAATAAATGCATCACGGGCGCTTCGATGCCAAAGTGAATAACGGGTGATCGGTGTAAACGGGTGCCTGTCATCGGCTGTTGATTGATACGGGGGCGATGTGATGCCATTGTGATTGACAACTGTGTGATCAAATGAAATATGATCAAAATATGAAACGTTTTTAGATGTTCTGAAGGAATTCAGACATCATATCAATTAAAATATGAAACGTTTTTAGATGTTCTGAAGGAATTCAGACATCAGTTTTTTATCTCACCGTTTCTATAGCAGTCGGGATGGTGCGTTCACGTTGTGTCGGATTTAGCATTTACTTAGCTTGGCTACAGAAAACATAGTAATGGCTAGGCAATTTACAAGTAGCATGTAGCGCAGTGTTCTTCCAACTTAAGCTGCAATTTTGCAGAGGTACGTCAATAGAAGTGGCAGAGAACGGTTAAAACATGAGCTCCAAGTCCGTCGTTTTGAATTCATGTACACGGATCACATCGGAGGAGGTTACTGCAATATGTTGAAGGACGCTTTCAAGTGCGCAGGAGGACAGAGGTCTTCACAGACGCAGCACTTTTAACGGCAGAAAAATAAATGCTTGCCCTGGAAGAACATGTAACTTCTCTGCCTCAAAGTGAAAGGTTAATATCCCTGTATGTACAAAATACATATGTATACGTACAGTCTGGTCATGAAGTGTGTCGGCAGTGATACACATCGACATACATTGGGGGGGGGGGGGTCTCTTCATTTCCGATTTGGAAATTTCATTCCTGCATTATTGGTGACATCAGGACGCCATGAAATCTCATAAATAAGGCAGGAAAGTTCTCCCCATTCTCCACGGCAGGACCATATATTATTGGTACTTAACGATAAATAATAGAGTTCATTTTATACAGTTTTGATGGCGGTTGTGAACGGGATGTAGCGGCCAATATAGATTTTTTTTTTCGACCTTTAAAATATTACATTAATAAATCTCTGGTTGAATTGTTGTCAAACTGTAGTTTCCTCTGTGTTGACCTGTCCACGCGCAACTATTCAGTCTGCGCCCGAAGCGTCCAGGGGAAATGTAACGCCACGGAGTCCATAATCGGACAGGTTCCTCGGTAATCCAAAGACGTTTGCGCGTGTTTACCTGATTAGGGTGAATTCCGTCGTTTCGCGTCGACTCTCCGGAGCAGCCAGGCCCGGGCGCGCTCCTCTGCTTTCTTCGCCCACCAAAGGAACGTTAGCTCGTAACACAGTTCCGTCTGTGCTCGGTTTCGGCTCCAGACGAAAGAGAAATATCCTCCGAGACACACGGATACATGTGAGGGGCAGGAGGACGGGGATATTAAGACTGAACACCCCCCTCCCCGAAAATATATCGTTAATGTGGCGGTGAAAGCAGTTTAAAGAGGCTGGAGGAGGATCTGTGTCGACTGAGGAGAAGGGAGGGGTGTAAACAAGCTGCCACTAACCGTGTTGTAACACCGTGGTGGACAGCTTCCGGTACATTTCAAAATAAATGAAGGGAAATGGTGTAAACAAGCTGCCACCGGTTACAACACTGTGGTGGACAGCTTCCGGTACATTTCAAAATAAATGAAGGGAAATGGTGTAAACAAGCTGCCACCGGTTACAACACTGTGGTGGACAGCTTCCGGTACAATTTCAAAATAAATGAAGGAACATGGTGTAAACAAGCTGTGGTGGACAGCTTCCGGTACCATTTCAAAATAAATGAAGGGAAATGGTGTAAACAAGCTGCCACCAGTTACAATACTGTGGTGGACAGCTTCCGGTAACATTTCAAAATAAATGAAGGGAAATGGTGTAAACCGGTAACACTGGTGGACAGACTTTTTAAAATTAGTTTTCAATAGCTGTTAACTGAACAATGCAATAATGACGCTTTTTAGTATTCTAAGAATACATTTTAACTTGTCGCATTCAAACGTCAATTCAATTTAGAGCATGCAGCTTTTACGCCATGGATTGTATTTCATTATGACAATAATACAACTAGAAGTACAAAATACTCACGACCTTTCAAATATATTCTAAACGTAAAGATCTATAAATGGCACTTGTAGTAAATATCGTACAAAAGCAATCTCAAGGGATTACTTATAAAATAAGATTACTAGGTCCATTTAATTGAAAAGATGTTTGTGTTTATGTTGTGATTAATTCATTCCTTCTACCCCGATTTAATTGCTTTCATTTATTCATTTATTTGAAACGATGCATATTAATATTAATAGCCATCATCATATTAGTGACAAGCAGATATATAATGGGACAATCGACAACCATAAACCGAGCATCACATTTTATCTTTGGTTGTGTGGCGGCACCTGCTGGATGAAATGACAATTAATACAATCTGATCGTTATGTCACTGTTGTGTTTGTAGCATCCTCTGATATATCTATCCCTATATCTTCTTTCTGTCAAACGATTACAAAGGAGGTCAATTTCCCTTGTGCTGCTGCAAGCATGGACATGTGTTGCATGTTGAATCACTCTTGCAGTCCAGTTGTCCAAAGTGTTTGTGGGTGTGACGTCACCCACCCGCCCTTTGCCCCAGTCAGATCCACTCTCTGTCCTCGCTGTCTACACCGGGAGACAACCTGCCTAGAAGATGTCTCGGGCTGCGGAAAGACTCAGACTGCTGATCAATCATCTCGATCGACCACCTGCCGCGATCGTATCCTTTCCCGTAGGCTTTGTTTATGTCTATCTGTCCCGCTAACTGGGGGACGGCTGCGCTGTAGCCTCGTGCATCGTAACTTATCGCTAGCTGTTATATCGCTATGTTTGTTTAATGTCAGAAACATACGTGTGGCCGTTACGTCACGCTCTGGCTTCTCAATCAACTGCCCGACGCACTATGAAGTCCGGCTAAACGAAAGCTAGCGTTAGCATGTCTGCTTTAGGGTCGCTACGTAAACTTGAGTGCTTTAACAAGTCGAGCTGTAACGTGAAACGTTTCCGTTGCTTTCACCTCCCACGCTGTCCTAACGTGCTGTGGTTGTCTCCTTTCCTTGACCGCCTGTCTGCAGACACCTGCGCCGACCTCAGCTCAAGCCTCCATCTACGGTCCTCCTCAGAGACTGAGGTCCTCTCCGCTCCTTTACACGACATCGTTATCTCTCATACTGTCCCCCTTTACTGCCAGTGGTGGCAGGTCACGACACAGATGTTTAGTGTCAGTTCGCGTTCGTAGAGAAGAGTCGTACTGTCTCTGGTGTGAAACGTGACGACCCGATGGTGAAGGTGGATCTATAGGCGTAGGATTTATGCACAAGCAAACATCCTCTCATGCAAGTTTAGTACGTGTACTGATGGAGTGAAGATGTCTATCTTTTGTACTATGTGGACCTCGAGTTTGAAATAAAAGTTTCATTGATTGATTATCACCACTGGCAGGTTTCTGAGCCCACACCTGTAAATCCAATATGACTTGAATGCAGTTTATAATAGCCTGCAGGCAGACAAATGTTAATATGGTTGTTTCTTATCACCTACTTTGGGCAGGTACACCGACGACACAGACCTGCTGACCCCAGACCAGCGACTCTTCTATGAGAAAAATGGTTTCATCCTCATCAAGAATCTGGTTTCTGATGAGGACATCGACAGGTTCAGGTGAGCATCCGAGACACCACGACGACCAAGAAGGAACAATAGTGGCCTTTCAAAGTGGCGGAACTTTGTTCTTACGAACTAAGCACGTAAGAACAACAAACTCACTATAATAACACAATGGATATCATTTTCTTAATGTATATTGGCATCAAAATGTCAAGCACACTATCAATTCATGACCACAGTGAATAAGCGTGTTTGTTTATTATAGACCACTAGTGTTTGGTCAGGTGATGAACATGATCCATATGTGCTCCTTTGCCCGTGCGTCCCGCAGGAAGGAGTTTGAACGGGTCTGTCGACGGGAAGTCAAGATTCCAGGAATGGTGGTGATGAGGGACGTGGCGATCGCCAAGTCCGAGTTTGTTCCGGATCAAAAAGCGGTCTCCAAACTCCAGGATTTCCAAGAAGATCCTGAACTGTTTCGGTATTGCTCCTTACCCGAGGTACACACACACAATCATTTTGTTTTTTATACTCAGGGATTTAAAGGCCCCGTCCAGTGGTTGTTTAAAAGAGCGTGTGTGCTTTCCTGTACTAGATACTGAAGTATGTCGAGTGCTTCACCGGCCCCAACATTATGGCCATGCACACAATGCTGATCAACAAACCTCCCGATGCAGGTACGCAGCTATCCGAACTCTTAACCAGCTGCATTTTGGATCTGTAGAGAAACTGGAAGCGACCTCGTCCAGTTCAATCAAAAACGCCCACCAACTCGTTTCAGGTAAGAAGACGTCTCGTCACCCGATGCATCAGGATCTGCACTACTTCCCCTTCCGCCCGGCCGACAGGATCGTCTGCTCTTGGACTGCGATGGAGAGGGTGGACAGGAAGAACGGCTGCCTGGTCGTCCTGCCGGAAACGCACACCAGCACGCTGCGGGAGCACGACTACCCGCAGTGGGAGGTATGGAACGCACGCAACATTCACCGTGACACACCTGCCCGGAGGAACACGGCAGCATGCGCACTGTCTCGCGTGTCCTCAGGGTGGCGTGAACAAGATGTACCACGGAGTGCGCGACTACGACCCGGCCCTCCCCAGGGTCCACCTGGAGATGGAGAAGGGCGACACCGTCTTCTTCCACCCGCTGCTGATTCACGGCTCTGGAATGAACCAGACGAAGGGCTTCCGCAAGGTACCACGTTAAAACGGACCAGGAAGAGAAAGTCCTTAAAGACTATTGGATAAAAAGTATTTACATTTGAAAGTAGTAACATTTGGGAGTTAAAACGTGTGCGTGTTTGTGTGTCCAGGCCATCTCCTGCCACTACGCCAGTGCTGACTGCTATTACATCGACGTGAAAGGAACCATGCAGGAAAACATAGAGAAGGAAGTGAAGGAAATCGCAAGCAGGAAGTACAACTTGGACGATGAAATTACCTTCAAGGTCAGACGTTAACGTTCAACAGGACATCCGTCTGCTTAAAACCCTTCTTGCCCCAACCGCCGACACAATCAGAGATGCAGGAGACTTAATTGTGCCTGGACAGTTTAATTAGCTCTGATATTTAGATCATTTATACCGTTACAATGAGGCATAGTAGGAAAGCACCGTTTTATAGGTGAAGAGATGCTCCGTGTGACCTGCTCATTAATAAGCGTTAGCCTCAGTGAACTTGCTGATTCTCTTTGGGACATAATGTACTTGTATAGGCAACATGCTAAAGGGAAACTTTGATTTGGAACTGTCCACTTAAACTTGGTTTGTCCCCACTACAGGACACCTGGGCTTTCAAAGGCCGCCTGGTGCAAGGAGAGAGGACCTCGCTGTGAAAGCTCCGCACAAATAAAGCACCACGTCGTGGCAGCGTGACCGACCACAGTCCAACACTGTGATGCAATCAGGGCACGTCGGCACCTGCACGTTTCCTCCTCCCGTAATGAGGAAAAACAAAGATATCTAATCTTGGAATTCCTAATTCACTTTAAATCACTTACTGTTTATTTAATTGTGACCTCGGAGTTTGTGTTTGACGTAACATTTTGGGAATGTAATCTGTGTAATTCTAAAGGACGGCATAAAAGCGCGACATTCTTTTTCAGTAGAAAATGTCATGTTACATGAGAGTGAATCACTACAAAGTCCTGCAGAAGGAGGCGTTGCTGCTGTAGGCTGTGCAGCGTTTCCCAGCACAACATGCCGTTTAATTCACCAGAACCTCCACGGAAAGAAAAGTCCACAATGATTTGTGGCATGTTGATTAAGGAAAGTAAGCACATTGTGAGCGACAGAGAGCTTGAGAGACAAATAAAGCAGAGTGACGAAGAGAAAGAATTATGAAGTCTGTATTGAGGCATAAATGTATAAATGATGATTGTAGCTCCTGTTAATCGACACAATCCGAGGCCTTGACCCAACTACTGCCTGATAAACATATCAATGCGTTAATGTCTGGATGTCCTTTTGATGGTGAGCGTTTGTCCTACAATCTTGCTGTTGCGAATCTAATTTTTAATAACACTAATAAAAAATATAAAATCTATTTTAATGAAACCTGGTTCCATTTCCTTTCATGCTTTAGACACATAAACACACACCTGCAACCTTTGACCTGCAATGTAATTTAATAACAATCAGTTATTTCGTTTGATTATTATTGATTAGGTCGGCAACATATTTAAATGCCAATAACATCTTGAAAATGTTATTTGTATTATTTGAACAATACATTACTTAATTTGCATAAACCAAAGAGGGAAATAGGCTGCTATGATAGGTTTATGTTTTAGTGATTATATCTATTTATTATTAGCTAATTTGTCCTAAGCTAAGTGAGAAATAGCCTGTGAGAACTCTGGTGTCATCTCTGGGATTGTAAATGACACAACGAGAGAGATCTCCAAACCACAAAGGATTATGGGTAAGAGGATTATCACTGAGAAAGATAAGCAGTACAAAATGAAGTCCCATCTTTAAAGACCGGTCTCATCCGCACTCTTTCAGCCTTATCTACAAGAGTGCAGACTTGTTGTGTTTCTCTCACCTGGCAGAATGACAAACAGGTCACAGTACGCGCTTTAGACTTTTCTAACTGCTCTCGGTGGCCGACATTGGGCTGGTTGTCAGACGGAGGCCCAGGTATTCACTGGCTCCCCACGCTGGAATGCAGGAGAAATGTGGAGGCACGGTAAACCGACATTGACACATAGACAAGTTTGTCTATGATATAGACAAACACCAAGTTACCAAACATATTCACATCTCCGTCCGCATATGAAATATATGCACACCCACACAATAAACGTGTATATGAATACACACTAGTGTATTCACATTAGCGTAGAAATGCAGATGCAGCAAATGAGTCTCTCGCACACTCTTTAACTGCCTAAACTTTCCCAGACTGCATATCGATTACTTTTCCTGTCGTCTCTGCCCAGTTTTCCTCAGAGTAAACGCATACCAGATTTCTCGACATCACACAGACACTCCAATCCACGGGAGCTCTGCATCTCTCGCTTAATGCGAAACTCCTCTCCGTCAGTTCCTCAACTCGCAGCTGGGTGCAACGCTAAGAACCTGAGATCATTCACAGCTGGTGACAGCTGGAATGACAACGAGAGGGACGGTTGCAGCTTTCAAGACGCTGGCAAGGCCACAATGCACAATGCCAGCAAAAGATTCAAGAAAGCACAGCAGGTCTGCTAAACTCTTTAAAGTGCAAACGTTTTTTCCTCACTTGAGTGATAATGGTGTCCTGTGCAGAGCATGAAGTTGGTTTCCCTCTGTGCGTGTGATCAGAGCTTCTGTGTTGTTTCTTTTAATGTAGCCGCTCTGTCCTTGGATGCACAATACTGGGAGTGACAATGATGTGTCCTGAAGGTTCAGGTTCTGTTGCATCTCAGGTAAACCCTGTCTATGTGCAAGGAATTTAAGCAGAAGAGCACGTCTATAGAGGAGGAATTATAATATGTGATCATGACCAGAGGTAAAATTGTAGTTCTGTTATAGATATTGGTTATTATATTATATTAATATCTGCAATATGAATTGTATATCTTAATTTAAATACTGTACTATGATGTCCATCCATAATGTAAAGTCCAGCCTGGAGGAAGGATGCTTTAACCTGAGCAGAGGAACAGCAGCTAACGTGGAGGTTTGTTTGATATGTTCTGTTTGATCCTAAAGGTTTAAAAGGACCAATGACATCCAGGAGGAATCTTTGATAAGTGATTGACTGGTGGTGAGAGATGTGTCCTGATTCCTGTACACCAACAGCTGGACCTGCAGCCACCAGTCCGTCAAGCTTTGCGGATGACACCACCCTCATTGGACTGATCTCTGGTGGGGATGAGTCCGCCTACAGGTGGAAGTCTGACCATCTGGTTTGACTTGAGCCAAAAAGATCGTGGCCGACCCCTCTCACCCCGGACAAAAACTGTCTGTGCCCCTTCCATCTGACAGGAGGCTGAGGTCCATCAGGACTAAGACCTCCCGCCACACCAACAGTTTCTTCCCGTTGGCAGTCGGGCTCATCAACAGAGCCCGGTCCCCCACTGACTGACTCTGACATTCCACCGGTCACTCCCGTCACACTATACATGCACATACACACACACTTTCACTTCTGTTCGCTGGTGCACTTTATTTTTAAACTTTTAAAACTTTTTAATTTTAACTTTTATTTTTAATTTAAATTCCTATTATATGTTCCTATCCTATCCCTATGTTGTCTGAACCGTCTGCCTTGTTGTCCATTGTCTTGTCTGATGTTATGCACCAACTGACAAGTTAAATTCCTTGAATGTTTAACATATTTTGGTAATAAATGTTCCTGATTCCTGATTCATGTCAGACTATCCACTTATAAATTGACAGCATATGACCCAAGATGGACAAAGACTGGGTCAAAGAGAATTATCTCAAAGCTATCACACATACTGGGGGCACTGGACCTTTTTTCTTTTTTTTAAAATGACTTTACTCAGACGGTGGTTTTCCCTTCTGCTGCCACCTTTTCTTTCCTTTTTTTTAAACTCATTCCTTGTTTTCGTCTTTCTCTTTTTCAACTGGTATTCTAGCAGTCTCCCACCCCTCCCTTCCTTTTTTCTTCACCCACCCTCTTCGTCTCTCCCATCTTCCACATCAGTCCCGGCTCAGTTCTTCTACGTATGCGTTAAGTCCACTGGAGTTTCTCTCAAGATGTCCTGGACTCGAGTCTTCGTGCTCTCTTTGCTCACCACCCTCCTCATACTGACCCGTGAGTACCTTTTTGTGGGCAGCTGGGGCAAAGTATCTTTTGGGTGGGTCATACATCCTCTGTGGGCGATGAGCAGAAAAGCATTTAAGATTTAAAGTGCTAATATTTGAGGTCTGTTATTATAGAAATAAAGACTAAAACTAGTGGGGTTTTGTTGCTTTGAGCATGATATATTTGTTGGTATCAGAATTTGAATGAATCAAATGAATCAAAAATTCTGGTCATTAAAGTGAATTGTTGCATATTTGCATCAAAGCTTTATGTAATGTTTTCAGTGAAGAGAACAGGCATCGAAAAGCTGTAATTGTGTCTGGAGATGTCCAGTCGTTCTCCAAAAGACAGTCAGTCCACAGCATGAGACACGCGTCCAGAGGACGACTGGGATTAGGACCATTCAGTCACAATGATAAGAAGCAGCATTCATTTGAAATGAGCCACATCAGACCGCAGTGAGCAAAGTCAAACAAGAACCTTATAGTTTGTAGAAATTATAAATATTATGTTTGTGGCTGTTTTAATTCAATTTAAAACTATCACAATGGTCATTTGTAGAGGAACAATTAAGGCCAAAGCAAACTTTATTATCTTGGTGACATCAGAGGTCCGTCTCTAATTATAATCTTGTTTGACATAATTTATGTATTGCATGTATTTTATTTAGCAGTTTCTTGTGTTTTGTCTTCTGGTTTCTAACTAGAAACTGTAGCAGCAACTTGTAGAGGACAATTTAAACACAAAAGGTGCAACTAAACATTAGAAAGCTAGAAAGCTTTATGTTAATGTTGTAATCTTGTGTTCCGGCATAGAAGTTTAGGGTCTATTCTGTAAATTCATGAGGATTTTGTGGTCCGCTTTAAAGAAAAAAATAAGTTATCAGTTTTCAGCTTCTTATGTCTTCTGCTGTTTACACCAACCTTTTTAGTATGTATCTTCAGAATTCTATACCCACAGGTGAATAGCAATACCGTTAAGCAAATCTCTGCATGTGTATCAATATTGGCCCCATATGCATGCTTCCCTGTAAAGACAAGAAATGATTGGTTCTCTTCTCTCAGTTTCCAGTGTGGTGGGCAGCGCGGCGGTGCTGGGCGACTCAAAAGCAGTTGATCCTAAAGGTTACACTCCTTCAAATAATCTCGTCCCACATCTTCTCCCCGTGTGACCTTCACTTTCTGACCTCTGACTTCTGACCTTTAGGCGCAGCGCGGCAAGTGTTCGTGCCCGAGTCGGATGCCGCCAACTTCTTCAAACGCCGCAGTCGCCGCTCAACCCGATACTATGAGCTGCAAGGCAGGTTCTTCGGTATCCATCCATGTGTCTACGGGCCGGTAGTTCCCAGGATGACATGATCTGAGGTTTTTGACCGCAAGCTGTAGAAGTTCAGGAGAGAAATAGGAAGAGAGTAGTGGAAACTCCAGCAGGTGTTGTTCCACATAGTTCCAGCTCTCTAGTCTGACTCCGACACACACACACACACGGACACTCACACACACACGGACACTCACTGGAGGCTGCAGAAGGAGTCACAGGGTAGTATGGAGCAGGCTCTCCTTCTCTCTCCTTTCTCAGTACAATAAGCTCGTTCTCTCACTCGCATCAGCGCGATCTACACTTCAAACAAAATGAACAAACACACGGACGAGAGGTGTTCCAGGCCGAAGATGCAAACACACAGGAACTCGTGATCATATTCTGGCCCTCAAATATCTTCGCAAAATAGGATTCCTGTAAAAGTGTTAAAGTGCTCCTGCGGGCCCTGATGGGCCCTGATGGGGCCCGCAGGAGCCTCGGCTGTGGAAAAACACGCCCCCACATTCTGGGAACCATAAAAAAAAGCCTGATTTCCCTTCCAGGACGGTTAATGAGAACCTCAGGGGACAGCCGAGGAGAGTTTGTGAGAACTCTTGTCAGTCATTTTGTCAGAAAGTGTTGGCGATGGCAAAGTGCCCTCTGGGTAATGCTGAGAATAGCTTGTATTGGTTTGTCGGCCAATTTCAGGATTTTATCATCAGTTTAACCTCATTTAGTGTAAGATAGAAAACCCACTGAAGGAGAAAAGCAGAATGTCACTCCTTACTGCATAGATCCATGTTGGATGATTACATAATCATAGAATGAGCTAATTCTCGATCACATTGGATTGTGGGAAACCTCATCAGTTTGCAGCAATGAAGACAAACACAGAGGCAACTCACCCGGCTGTCAACTATTAAGTACTTTCACATGAGTGAGGGACGCTAAATCATATTTACAATCACAGTTTAACATGTTTGCATGCTAACGTTTTCTAGTTAGCAATAAACACTAGTGGGAACAGTGAAAGCGGAGGAGTCCCGCCCTAAAGCATACTCTGCTTTATGGTCTTTTTGACCACTAGAGGTCCCTGGTCTGAGAGAAGTTAAGTAATGTTCTCATGGACATCTATACAATCAGACTTCTTCTTGTCGCTCAGCACCCCCTCTGCTAATCTTCGGAAATAATGCATCTGGAGGTTGTCGTCTGGCCTTACAAAAGGCCCAATTGAATTGCAATCTATTCAATGTGTGTTGAGGGATTCTTTAATGTCCACCTCACGGTGAGCCTGGAGGAAATATTAGTGGATCTTCTGTTGACATTGAGAGACATTTCTGAGCTACGGGTGGTTCCTGTGACAGGCGGCCATTTGGGAAATGTTTGTACGGAATGCAATGTCCACTAGATAGCTGTAGAGATCTGTGTCAATCTGAACCACAGTGGCATACTGACCTTCATCCATCAGTGTCTTTTCCTTTCTTGTTTCCACAGCCGAGCAGAGGGTGAGGCTTTCAGTGTACGAGCGGAGGAGGGAGTACAGCGAGGAGCAGAGGGATGAGTACGACAACTACGTGAAGGAGGAGCGTGACGGTGAGATCCTCGATGGAATGGCCTTCAGTTCCTTCTCAAATGCTTTCCTCTCAACCCCGGCATCCATCACATTTTAATTTAAGATTATGTTTACTTCATCATCACTTTGTTCCGTCACACTGAATTGAGAAAGAAATATCAACAACACACTGTTGTGGATTACGATTTTACAGTTTTAATTATTTTCTAATCTCCTTGACTTCATCCATCTGAGTCGTGATGAGGACCCACACATGATTATAACATGAGTACATGTTGGACTAAATAGAAACATTTTCCCTCTACAAGACTCTGGATCAGTAAACACACCCAAGATAACTCAAATGACTGTTATCACGAGACTGCTCCCTATGCAGAACACATCATGGGAAGGCAGAGTTTGGACCTTGAACGACACCTCTCGGCCCCGACGAGTCTGGACCAAAGCGGAGCGACCAAAATCAAAGTGTCCATTTGCGGTCCACCACGAGCTGACAATATTCCTTGCGGCTGTCTGTCTGGTGTGATATAGTTGCAGTGGCAGTTTCTAAACTAAAAACTGCAACACCACAGAGATGCAAGTTGGTTTAAAGATAGACAGTGTTTTAAGTAGTTTGGGTCAATGAGGTGTTATAGAAGAACCAGCTCCACCAGGCCCCGAACACATTTTGTCACATTATTGGCTGTCAAACCAGACTCAGACAAACAAACAAACATGTATGAGCTGAATTCATTGCATTTAGTGTAAGTGCCAGCAATAATGACTCTGCTGACCTTTTTTCAGCAGGTTGTTGTCAGTTGCAGCTGGTTTCAACGAGTTGGAGATATTGTGGACAAAAGAATTCCCTGATAAATCCAACCTGGCTGTTTGCATTCTTAGAAATAGTGTGAGGATGTGGCGCCACTTACACTACGGTTTAGACTAAATGCTAACAATGTACAATATTTTTTTTCTGATAGATTTGACACTAATATCAGAGAATATCCAATTTCTTTTCCCAAAAGAAATGTATTCTTAAACATAGTTCTTTCTGGTATTCATCACCATTATTTATGAAGTCTAAAATTGGCTTTAATTACTACCTAATTACACAGCAGACATCATTATCTTTCATTTGGAATTGTGTTTCTCTCCTTTTGGCGCTTTCTCTGTAACCCACATCAGCAGCCATGCGATCTTTTACCACTTTATTTCACTTTTTTTTTAAATCCATAGAGCAAAATGAGAGATCGAGGGAGACGAATGAGCAGCTTCGAGAGTATCATTACGACGGCTATCAACCTCGCTACTACTGGTTCCACTGAGTCTCTGTGCACGCAGGCCCCTCCCACCGCAGCACAGAGGCCCCTCCCACCAGAGAGAAGAGGCCTCTCCCACCGGAGCAGTGCTCACACCACCATCAGTTTACCGGATTCCGGAAAATTTGAGTTTTCTCCACAATATGTTTTTCTGTACTTTTTGTTTTTATATAAGATAATACCTGTGCAATGTCGAAAGCTGTATAAAAAGGGCAGTTGGGGTATCATTAGCTAATCTTTATCATATTAATTGGAGTGTCGTGTTGCATGCAAGTTTTCACAACCTTTTCTTTTTACATGTACATACAAGCTATACCATGTCTCACGTCAGCCAGTGGCATTAGTAGCAATAAATCAACCTCGTACATTTTCAATATCATGTCTTGAAGTCAAAATAACAAATGTATAGGGGTATGTCACCCAATTCCCAGACCACTGATTTTAAATTACTCATCTCAATTACGCACCGACTGGTATTCGGAACATTCAGAGGGAGGGAGGCGGTGTGGAATAAAACAGAAGGTGAGCTGCAGAAGTCATCACGGGGAAAGCAAGTCAACATTCCAGTGTGGAAATACTAGACACAAGCCGGGCAGGAGACGCGCAGAGAGAGAGGGAAAGGAGCAGCAATAAGATATTGAGCACAAACACCACCCTGAAAAACGACACCGTGGCGAGTCACTCTGTACTTACTGACCATCATAATGATTTGAATCCAAAAGCAGTACTTTATCTCTACACCACCCTCCCCCGTCCCGAGGCCACGCGGACTTGGCCTCGGCAGTCATCACTCTAAAACACGGAGTGCGATGGTGTCACAATGAAAATCAAGTGCATTTAAGAGGGGTTTAAGCTAAAACGTGTCCAACGTTTTTGAAGGCAGGGGTTTATCCTCCGAGTATAGATTTTTTATGTTTTTCTGCAGGAAAAAAAAGTAAATAGTTGATGAAGTTTTAAATGAATTTTCATACAACCACTAAGTGGAAGTATTTTCTTATTATTCCTAAAAACTGAAGTTGGGTTAATGTTTAAGGTTGTATGTACACCACAGTACACTAATACCATCAAATATGTGATAAACAGATTTGCCCTATATTTAGTGTTCTCAGCTCCTCAGAAACACATTTGATATGAAACATATTGCTTTAATTATTGTCTTTAAAGCACACCCAATTTAAAAACAAGTTTGAAATTTAAAATCAGAATTAATACAAACACAAAATTGCTACAGAGACAAATTGCAGAATTAAAAATCTTGGGGCCGTCACTTCATGCTGTTGAGGAACTTGCCGTGCTCCTCTCCACGAGGCTGCAGAAGCTCTCCAGCGATCTTTGGTCCCTTTTTCTCCTGCAATAAAAAAAAGAAGAGTGGTGAGAAACGTCAGCTCTGCTTTCTTTCACGATATCAGAGGTGAAGTGTGAGAGAGAGGTTTTACCTGCAGCATCCCATCGCGCTCCCATTTAAACAGACCGCAGTTGCTGGAATGGTAGAACACTTGTTAAAATGTGCGTGTAGGTACAAGAGGGACCAGACATGAGCTGTAGGAAATGAATATTAACCCGCAGGTTTTGTTGGGCAGTCGGTCCAGAGCGATGGCCCTCTGTCCACAGGGACATTTGAAGAAACGTTTGGTGGCATCGTGCCACCGCAGGTTATGATTCTCTTCCACACAACGGTCTGCCGGCTTGAAGTATGTGTAACTGCACTGGAAGGGAAGATCATGGGAAGAGTAACGGCTTACTTTGCCTGCTTCTGACCGAGAAGATACATCTCATAGAAGGCTTGGATTGATACAAATCTGAGCTGAGCAGGTGTAGAATTCGACTGTGTACCTTTTTACAAGTAACAGCACGACACTTCATCTCTCGGATGGCCTTCATCTTCTCCTCCATCTGCTCCTTCTTCACGAGCGGATCGAAGTAGCTCTCCTGCAGCTGGTACTCCGCCTGAGAGAGAGAGAAAGGACATTCAGACACAAGTGTTTCTCCGTGGCTTCCAGCTTTAGGAGGGAGGCGTAGTCTGTCCACTAGTAAGACAACCACGTGCGTGCATACACATGGACATATTTGCGCACGTTTTGGGACAGAACTGCTGTGCGTGGGGTACATTTTTTTCCATTTCATTTAATCGTGGGGACCGCCCTCTCTGATACAATGGTAGGGGAAACTGGAGACACCTTAAAAACTGTTTTACTCCTAGATGACATCTCGATTTGAAGAAGCGATTGCGAGATGAGATCTACCATAAATATACATGCAACATCTGTCGATTCAGAAACGGGCTGTCCCGGTTAAACACGTCTTAACAGAAACACGTGGTTAGGTTCAAACTGGTCGTACCGCCTGCAGTGCGGCGTCGTGGCGGGATTTGGCGTTGAGGATCTTCTGAAACTCCTCTGACTGGATGTAGCGGAGCTGTTCTCGCTTCCTCTTTAGCGCCGGTTCCTCTTCGTCGTTACCGGACAATCCGCCTGAGCAAAAAGTAAGAGGACAAGTTATGACACAGCTAAATCACTTCATATAAAAAATTAAAAATTCTGCAATGTACTAATCAAATCAAGGGCTAACATGTCTTCTCATTCACGCTCTGTTAATATCAGAAATGGCTCTTCACTGTGTACCATTGGGAGAGGTGAGATTCTTCTCGACTCGGGCATTGATCTTGCCGTCGGTACTCCTCTTTCTCTTCACAGCGTTGGGGTCTTCCTTTTTGAGCCCCGTCCCTTTAGCTTTCAGCTTTTTCAGAGCGGATAGCTTGGCGGCCGACAGGCTGAGAGTGACGGGGGCAGGCGGTGGCGGCGAGCTGTTCTCGAAGAAGACGATGTCTTCACCCTCGGAGAAGCCTCGGCCCAGGGTGGGTCCGTGGGGGGCCGCGGGGCTCTGCGTGGCCCTTGGGACCTCGGAGGCTTCTTTCGGGGACATCCGAGCCTGCCGACCCATCGAGGAGGAAAGCGCGTTGGGGCCGGGACCAGCTGAGTGCGGCAGGGCCCCCTTCTGGATGTCGTCAGCCCTCCGCCGCCGGTTGAGCAGAAGCTCCCGCTGCATCTGTTTCTGCTGCTTCAGCAGGTCCGAGGCTGTGATGGACTGAACTGGACTTGCATCTTTGGAGACTGCAGCAGATTAATAAATGGATGGAGGGCAGACAATTAATAACACCAGACATTGTCTGGTTATTTGAATCTTTTAGAAAATTATGTTCAGAAAGGAAATGTTCACTACATCACAACTGCAAGGTTGATAAGTATGGTTTGTGAAAATATATCGGATCACATCGACTGATTTGGGATGAGCAGCTGTACAGTGCAGTAAAGGCCAACTTCCCGCCCGGTCTTTTCTCTCAGAAGTTAGCAAATTGCTAGTCAGCCATGTTATGAATAATGTTCACCTAGCACAAGCTGAGTCAACGTTAGCTGTGCTAATACTTCTGTGCTTCGCCGGATAAATTACAGTTGTTGTTATAGTATTGTGGCTTGAGTTGGAAGGGGCTGTCTGGTGGGTGAGTAGAATAGATAGATGTGTACTAAGATGTATTTTAGCCAGCCTTATACGTGTACACTATATTTAAAATATTTCAGCTAGTTAACCTTGCCATCAGACGGGGAGCTTAAGACGTTATCTTGTCTCAGTCGACAGAAACTGTAACATTGCGTTGCAGAACTCAGGAGTGGGAGTTTATTGTGTTATTGTGTGGCTTCAGAATACGAGCCAACGGTAGCGTTAGCAGCAGTGCGTTTGACTTCTAGCGTTGTCCCGTCTGCCTCTCTTAACTGTGAGCTGGGTTACTGTATGTAATTGACTCAACTATAAGTATGTACATGTACCTAAATGTAGCAGCATTAACATGCAGAAAACGTTTAAGGATTACTTCTACTGAATGATACAAAACCTATAAAAAATGTAGAAACAGTGATGGGACCGCCTATTAATAAGAGGCAGTGTATTACCTCATAGCTCGAGCAGTAAAAAACAGGCATGTGTCCTGGTTGTGTACCTGATTGGCCACCCTGTACTAAGTGCTTCTTCAGCTGCAGAGCTCCAGGAGTCGGCGCCGACAGCAGGCTCTTAAATTCATTTGAACAACCTGCAACTTCACCGGACCGCATGGCTGGTAACAAATGAAACAAGGAACAGACAGAATGGGGTCAACCAGAGGTGCTGGGGTTTGTGCATACGCATGTGTGTGTGTGAGGGAGACTATCCGTGCTCACCCAGCCTCTTGGCCTGACTGACAAGCTGAGCGGAGCCCTTCACAAACAGCTTGTCCAGCGTCTTCTGGACGGGTTTGTTCGGTTTGCCCGCCGATCTGCAACACGCAAGACTGTTACCGAGATGTCAGGCGGCTGAGATTCTGCCCACTTTCACACTGTGATCCTGACAACGGAGGACGACTTCCAGAAATTAACTTTAACGTCGTGAAACCTCCAAATATAGGAGTCATAGTTGCGACCTTGTTATGCGCAAGGTTCATTACTACTCAGTCTTGCTTCAATTGATAAAATAAAAATGGAGATTGGTTTGTGGAAGACTCCACTGAATGAAAGCAAATGTTTCCTAGAATAAACATTGACATGACAACGCAGAGCGTGACTCACAGGGACGTGGCGCAGGCGGCCGACGACACGCCGCCGTAGTAGAAGCCGTCCTGACACAGACGCTCCCGCAGGTTGCTGCCCTTCACCTTCAACTTGTTGGGAGCTTTGCCGGAAAACGCCGATTGCAGCTCGGCCCTCTTCGAGCTCATCTGCTTGTACTGGGCCTTGACGTGATACTGGCAGTACTGGCATTCGAACTGCGGACGACACAGAGACTGTAAGACGCGTTGGGCCCCTGGTACCTGATGGCAGCATGGGTCTAAGAGCGAGCGTAACCCATTCTGCAGGGCAAGAAGGACCCACCATGTTGACAATCTGAGAGCAGGGGTCTCCGTTCTTCTTCATGGCCTGGCAGTTGCCGTAGTCCTGAGCTTCTCCCATCAGCAGCAGCTTCTGTGGGTGATCCACCGTCAGGCTCACCTGGACACAAAAAAACAGCCTTCATTTTTCTGGTAATGTCTTTTCTTGCGCCACCCGTTCTCTCTTTTATCTATTAAACTTTCTTCTCCTTATGACAAGCATTTATTCAACTTTGTGTGTTGTTATTTTCCTCAGATTCAATTAATTAATTAATCAATTAAGATAACAGATTATATGTTTCAGACATTTTCAAACAAAACTGAAAAAAAAGATTAAGTTTAATCTTTAATTTGGTTTAGTTTAATTCTACTTTTTTATTTTATAGACCAAATGATCAATAAAGAGCAAAGAAAGAATTTTAAAAGTTAAGAAAATAAACATTAATTGCAGCCCTATGCGGCACAATTTTAAAAGGTGGAAAT